GCGTCGCGCGCGTTTTTTTTATCGATCGTAAAGATGCAAAGCAGAACGGAACGACGTACAGTCGTGTTGCGTCGGAATTCCCGTTCGCCCCTTTCTCGGCTTTTTAACGAGACGAATGGAACGCGGCCCGCGGAATCCTCTCTCCGATTGATTCTCGAATGCCCCTCGGGATTGACGGACGAGAATTGAGATTTGAATGTTTCGAACGAATCAATGTGAATTCTGTTTCGTTGGTACGTTCAGCTGATTTTTGGAAGTTGGTTTTGCTTGAATTGGGAATTATTCTTGATTTTTTTATGGTTACTGGGAAATGGAGGTTTTTTAAAACATTGAGTGGTACAAGAAGGCTTTAATGAGTCTTATTTGACAGCAATCTTGTTATTGTGTTTGTTGATATTGAGAATTCTATGTCTTGTAATTTTTAATATTAATTCTTTCTACTGCAGTTTGAAATATTAACAGTTCTTATTGTCGTTTTTAACCCTTGTCGCAGCAAACTTTGAGGTGCAACAGTCGTACCATACGGTAGGAATTCAGTCGCAGTATACACAGAAAACGGCGAAACTTTTTCAAGTATTGTTTTCCACGTTAATGGATTAATGTCGACTATTCTTATTACAATTGTCAACATTAATAATTCCCTTTATTGCAATTTTTGACATCAACGACTCCCCAATCGTATCCATAATATTAAAACATCAAAATTAAATCTTATATCTTTCTTTCATTCTACGTCTTCAACGTTTCCTTTCTAACGTTGTGAACCAACAACCGAGGGGGCTATCGAGCATCGCCAAAACAGGTAGACCCACGGGCCAGGTGGTTCCCAGAACACCGAACGTTGTAATCAGTCCCTTCGAGGAACTTCTAAAATCGCCAGCTCGTTCGTCTGCTGCTTCGCCAAAGTCTCGCTCGTAAACGTTTATTAGCAAGAGTATGCGCACGAGAGCGCGCGTGTAAACTTAACGCGGAAACGCCGCTCGGCTTTGACATTCCAAGTTGATTTTACGGCAGAGAGAGCGCGGCGCGTACGCGCTCGCGACACAAAAGGCTTTACCCTCTTTTGAGGGTTAGTCCGGTTCGCCGTTTTCTTCCTGAAAATCAATATACCGTCGACCAATGAGAGAGACCGGCTCGATGGTTTCCATGCATCTCCGTTCTGGGGAACGATTTGACACTCGTCGCTCGCTCTGCACGCGTACACGGCGCGCGACAAACTTTCCATCTTGATATTTGCCGGCGGCTAACAGCGGATGCGCTCGTCCCGTTTATCGGCGGTGCTATTTTCCTGCTGTTTTCACGAAGAAAGCCTTTCTTCTCGCTCATGTTCTACCTGTCGCATGACGACTCGTTTTGCTCATACACGCTGGCAGCTGCGATCGTGCTAGGGTACCTCGTTTCGGGATATTTCAAGATTGGCGAAGAAACTTCGAATCTGATTCTCGATGAACTTTTACTTTCTGTCTTTTAAGTCTCTCAACTTTTTAGACAATTCACGGTGCAACTGCTATTATTGTGAAATGATTGTAATCCTTGATTAGTTTACATTGGCTTTTGCTTAAACAGATGTTTCCTTGATTGAACAATGTGTTTCGCAATCTCGAAATTTCGACTTTCTGAATTTTCGCACTTGAGAAATATGCTATAGATAACACTGAACCTCTGGAAATAAAGTAATTAACTTAGAAATTCGCGAATCACCGAATGAAAGCTAGAGGTTCAGGAAAATGCAGTTACCAGCAACCAGGATTCTCGAGCGTTAACCCTGGCGAGTCACCAGGTAATGAATTATGAATAACGAAAAGCGATGACCGTATCTGGAAAATTGGCGGAAAATGTTTTTTTTTTCATTATTTATTCTTCCCGAGATCTTGTATCTAGGGTTCTTTTCTGGTTCGGCGACGATGTTATTCTAGAAGAAGGAGAAAGATGAAAAAGAATCATCGGAAATAAACGGTTACGCTGCGAGGATGAAGCGCTTAGTTCTCGTAGGGTTGAGCCTGTTCGGTTACGCGATTAAACCGGCACGTTCGCGAGAGTATATCGTAACCGTTTAGCGGATCGAATCGCGTTTCGCCATGTTTAACGACACCGATAAATGAGCTTCAGCTCGCGAATCGGCCACGGTTAAGCATCTCGTCAGGGGAGAAGTTCTTCCGTGAATCCGACGAGTTGTTAAACCGGCTATAAAAAGCGGCGATTATATAACCCAGGTCTTTCTGCCCCTCTCCATCGTTCTTCGCCGATTATACGAAACGAATGTTTGCTCGTTAATAACCGACATCATTAATTGGCTCGGCGCAGAGATGAGTTCCGCGACCGCCGGCCTTGGTCGGGCTTTATGTATCGCCGAACGACCGACTGCCAAGCGTCGCCGTAAAGCCAGCGAAACGACCGGGTCGCACGCTCCTCGTGCCCGCGCGTTCCATCTTCATTGGAGAAGGATTAAGCTCTCATTTTGCGCACCGCAATTACGCGAACGAAAACGCCGATCGGGATTTATGGGACGAAGATTGCCGAGCGAAGTAGAATGCTCGGGCGATTCGTCGTGATAGTTCCGTGAAGGCTTAGGATTTATTTTTCAGATTTTCGAACATTTTACTTTTCCAATTGTCAAGTATTTAAGCTTTCACATTTTCACACTTGTAAATATTAAAATTTTCAAATATTTAAAGATTTCAGCAACTAGGTACAAGCCTAATGCAAACCTACGTCACATTAGCATATGACCCTATGAGTGCACCTATCATCTATTTTGGAAACAGCTCAAACTCAACTAATCGATGCATTGTTTACCAACCAACAAACTCTTTAGATTTAGATAATTCCTAAATAACGGTCACACCATGACATTTGATAGGATTTGACCCAAACACCTTGGTACCCGGATGCCACAGTAGAATCAAGATCCATCCATAGATCCACGAGCCCGTGTCACCGTTTTCCGTTCCGTTGGAACAGTTTCTCGGCTTTGAGGACGACGAAGCTGAACACATATAATTCAACGAAGCGCGTAGTCGACGCGTAGTCGAAATAATTGCCGGTACTGTTAACCGTAGACGAGTCCGAGGCCTATGTATCTCCCCGGACCCGGCTTAGACTTCGCCGGTACATTCGACCGATTCACATTAGATTCTTCTCCTGTGGTAATTATCTCAGTGAAACTAATTGAATAATAATCGTTCGTTTGTACGCGGCGTTAAGTCCAGGAAGAGAGGCGGTTTTACAATATGAATAAAATAAACCCGTACATTCACGTCCATTCAAGTACCGGGAGCCGAGTGCTCCAACCGTCTTCTTTCCCAATGATGCAACGATACGCCATCTTAATTACACGCGCTTTCATGGCGCAGTCCACCGTGTTGCTTACATCGCATTACGTTCCTTCGGTATTCCGAGGAAATTACGTGTACACCGGGGTAGGGCGTCGCTCGATGTGCAATCGATGATCAGATGTTGTCCAAGAATTCACGTAATCCTTTCGCGGCAATTGCTACATCTTCTTTTTTGAAGAAAGGAAACCGTAATGCGGGTTCTTCATAAGCTGTTTCATGAAAAGTAGATTACATTCCTCTACAGTTGCAGAAACAACGTTCAACCGCTATTAACTTTTGTAACTTTAATAAATATACAAAAGATCCATAACCTAGTTGTAATTCTCTAATCCCAACTCTAATCGCTGCAGGCTAGCACTTAACTACCAGAGCTACTGTAGGGAGGTCACTTGGTGGCTAGGCTGAAGAATGTGGGTCTGATTGGTTAGTTTCTCATCTTTCTTGCAAAGGTAGTTCGCTATTCGCCGATACGGTTACGCGTAACCGAAAGACCTCTTTCACGCTCTACCATCTCCCTGGACATCAAGTCATCTTCCTATAGTACAGTGGACACCTATTGCAACCTTCGGTCCACTTCCAAAATCTGATCTTCTAAGATACAGGCTATAGCCTCGATTCTCTCGGTTATGCCCAATTCTACGGCTCTCTTCGAGAGATACACGACGCGCAGTAAACGCGTCGGCTCTCTAGAAAAAGAATTGCTTTCTCTTTTGATCGTGTTCGCCGACAAGGAGCGAACTAGGAGGCGATGTCCTAGCTCTCGCAGTCGAAAAAGCACCGAGTGTGACGGGTTACTGTTATTCACCGGGCTGCATGCCGTTGTTTGTTCTTCCCGTGTCTTATTTTGTACCCGGCTGCGCGTGTTGCGCGATACACCGTGCCGGAACGCGCACCCACACACGCGCGCGGCCTTCCGCTGTGTAACTGTCTCCTCGACAATGGTCGCGTGCCTCGCGAGAGAACCCACACACGGTGGCATCTCCCGAGGATCGAGGATGCTCCTGAAAAAGGACCTATAAGCCAAAACAACAAATTCGTTTTTAATTCTCATTTATTTACAGTTAACGGGGAAAGATCCCTTTTTTACATAGAACAACATGTCTAGGTAACAAAACTTTTGAGTGCGATGCTGGAAGAAAGAAAGCAGAATATGAGAAGATATTTTACAGTACAGTTGATTGTGTATCTGAGTGTCTAACTATCCGAAAACTGCCATTTTGAAAATATTAAATGTTAGAGAAAAGTTTTGGTAAATTCGTAGCATAGTTTGACAATTGCGTAGTATGGAAATTGAATACATCGCGTTGGAAGCTTTTGTTTCAGATTCTTCCATGCATTAATATGTTTAGATTGTCCATTATATGGTTCTTGAAAACTTTGTATCTTCTTCTTTCTGGTATCCTAAACGTTTAGCGCCTTTTTTCTTCGGATGTGCCCCGTCATTGTGTTAAGTTGTCATCCCACTCTTTTCTCTTTGGACCTGAGCTTCTATCATTTGAGAACTTATGAAAAGTTTCACCAATCTATTCTCTTAAAAATAAAATTTTAATTTATAGATATGTGACAGTTAAAAATGGTTTATCGAAAAATGATCCTTAGATCTATGTATTCTCCGGATTTCATTGACTGATCATTAAAAAGTATGCTTTGTTACGTGTGTTTCAGCACCGAATACAATTCGACGACACCGCCACCCGGACTTTCGAGTACCCCAGCGAGGCGTCGATGCTGGAGGGCGAGAGTAGCGTGGATGGCGAAACTTCCGGTTCCGTCGAGCAATCAGCCCCGGTCACCAATAAAACGTCCTCGACCAACTCGACGACGAGCATGCCGACCCTACTCGGTAATTTCAAGCGCTGGTCTCTTATCGCGTCGGCCGATAAACGCGGTTTTTCTATCCGGCGTAGAATGGGATAACATAGAATCGGTGCTATTGTCTCCAAAGCAATTACAAAAAAATATACTTATAAAACATAGTCCTTCTGTAACCGAGAAATAACAAGGTGAAACGATAAGAACGCGTACGTTATGGCCTGTCCAGACTTAGCGAAATAATGGAATTATCGGTTGAATTGAAAACCTCGAAGTTTCGATAGATATTTTGTGTTTCATAATATTGTACCTACACAGTCTCTTTCAAATCTTTTTCCAGACGCAACGATCACGAACGGTTTTTCCCGCGTGAAACGCTGCAGCCAGTTGCACATTCTCGTAAACGTCGACCCTGCAACAGAGTCGCTAATATAGACCCGATTGTCCCAGCTTCCAACCGCAAACCGTTTATATTGACAGCTTTCACGCGCTTATATTGTTGGTAGATGGCTTGATGTCTAGTGGGACGGCACAAAGGCGACAGGGGTCTTTCGCTGAGTGTCTTCTTTATAGGCCTGATTGGTTACGTGTAACCGTATCAACGAATAGCGAATTAACATCGAAAATGAGAATAGATGATAACCGACCAATCAGACCTGCACTTTTCACTCTAGCCGTCAAGTGATCTACCAACGGTGCATCCCTTACGTCGTCTTTCTTTATACCCAGCTAGCGATGGTAGCTTGCTGAAAGCTAGTGCTTGTTCCCCGCAGGTGGTGGCGGTGGCCTAGCCAGTTACACGCCTAGCAAAGTGGATTTGGCGTCGGAAGGGTTCGAGCTGGGTGTGACCAGGGCGGTGTGCTCGACGCCGACGCCAGCCTCGACCTCGATATCGGCGACAACCGCGCCGTCGACGCAGCAGTGCCAGCCGGAGAACGATATCGGCGAGGTGGACTACCTGAAACCAGCGCAAGACGCGGGCGCCTGGGGCTCCGAGACCACCGGCGATCTTCTCTACTGAAGAGGACACCTAGCTAAGACACCAGGCCAGGACACCTGGGGATCACGCTTAAGAAACACGGACGAAACCCGCGGGAAGCTCGAAGCCTCGAGACACGAAGAGGAGCTGCCCGAAGTCCGTGAACCGAAAAGACTTGAGAATCGCGAAAGTATTTTACTGTCGTTTCGTCTTACTTGTTTTTTTTCTTCCTTCTGCGTAAGAAACGAGCCTTCCACCGATAGCAGGCGGTCCCTAGAGAGACCCACTGATGCGCTAAAAGGTTTCTTCTTCGTTCCGGCGCCCGGCGACGAATTAATGCTCACGTGTATCGATAAGCGATTACCATTGCAACCTTTTCCTCTCCCTTTTCTCGCTCCTTCTCTCTCGCAGGAGAGGGAAGAGAGAAAACGCCTCGTTTGGCGGCGCGACGCAATAACGGGAGGGGGAAAATCAAAAGCGCCGGGACGAAGCCGTTTCGCGACGCCGGGAAACGCGCCGCGTGTCTCACTCTTTTTTTTTCGTAGGCAATTAAGCGAGGAAAGAGAATATTAACAGTATCATTCCAAGTATATGCATTTACTTTGTATTACTACGATAACGAAGTGAACAGACTTTTTCCTAATTAACGAGTAATCGAAACTGCCAAGGTACGTCAGTGCTTTTCATTCTTCCTTTCTGTCTTTGTTTTTTCCTTGTTCTTTTTTTTATATGATATAATTGTTAAGCACTTTACACGGAGAGCCCAGTGATCGGTGAACGTTTATATTAGGGGCGGGCAGATGAAAGGAAAAAAGATGTGAAGAGAAAAAAAAGAGAAAAAAAATATACGGATCATATCACGTTTTTTGGCACATTTTATAAGAAAAGAAAAAAACCGGGAGATGTCGATGACAATGAAACTGAACGTTTTTTGTAACCTTTTTGAGATTACTTTAATCCTAAGCCGTTTACACGTTCGTGCTGCCAGTCAAAAGGCCAGAATTTTATGCGAGATTTTTTAAGGGAATTACAAAGGGAAATAAAATGGAACGATAGAATAAGGAGGCGAAGCTTGCTCGAATGGAAAAGAGCCGAAGAGGAAACGGGAAACACTCGAGTTTAGATTTGTAAAAGTTTTTGCCAAAGTAGAACGTAAGTCTACTTAGTATACTTAATGTATGTTGTACGATAAGTGAAAGTTTCTGTCCAGGGAATAATATGTAACAATTGTAAATTCCAAAAAAATCATTATTTATACTGAGGGTATGCTGTAAACCGTACTAATATTTCTTACGAATGCTCAATGGTTCGTTCATACTTCAGTGTAGATATACATTTATACGCGTGTACGATCGTGTTCGTTCCGTTTTCGTTTCTTATTATTTCGACGAGGACCAAACAAAAAAAAAGAGAATGTTAATGAATATTGTAATGTTTCGAGAAATGTTTTTCTTTGGGGAGGAGAGCCCCGTATTCGTTTCGATTATCAGTGTTAATTTTAAGGAAATCAAATTTTGTACATACTAAATTATTATCGGCCTCGGAGCAGCTCGGAGTGTTGCTCCTTCGTTCGATGAGTTCGCGCGAAAATTGAATCGCTCCGAGGCCGATCGTTCTGCGTGTAACTCTTTGTTTCTATTCGTTGTTTGTAATTGCGTTCCGAAATAGTAACACACGTCGAAATTTCGTGGAACCGCGTTTAATTGTTTCCTAGTATGATTGCGGCAGTATGGTGGATTTAATTAGAACTTTAATCGCGTGATCGCGGACTGATTCAAGAAAAAAGGGCAAATGTCCGATACGATAATGATGGTGATGATGGTGATGATGATGATGATGATGATGATGATGATGATGATGATGATGATGATGATGATGATGATGATAATGATGATGATAATGATGATGATGATGATGATGATGATGATAATGATGATGATGATGATGATGAGGATGATGATGGTGATGATTATGATGATGAGGATGATGATGGTGATGATTATGATGATGATAAACTAACCAGGTGCATTTATACACCGAAGCAACAACTGTGTTCCATTTTTCCGTCGCTGTATTCTAGATGCTAAATAATTCCGGCTACCATTCGCGTATCGCGCAACGTAACGTCGTTTTCTATTTAATTACACGTTAGCGTTAAATCGATGCTTGATGGGTCTGTGTCACAGCGTTGCATTTTACACTGTGATATTTTTTTTTGTTATCTCCTTTATTCATTTCCTAGTATCGACATACAATTGCTTCCCAATCATTCATGGAACAGTGCCGTGTCGACCGCTCAGTTTCAATTACCACATGTACTGGTTAGAGCGGAGTAAACGAGATTACGATCGTGGACACATACCGTATTCAGGGTGTCTCGGCTCTTTTATTTGTTAATTACCTATTTCGGTCGATCTGATTAAAGCGTCGATGTAATCTCGCTGCTCCGGTCGAGGGAACTCCGTATTATTTTTGTAAATTATCGCTGTACAGTATGGAAAGGCATCGTCGTTCAAGCCAAGGATTAAAGAAGAACATTAGTATTATGCTTTAAGATTATTATTATTAATATTATTATTATTCTCATTATTATTACACTTATGATTATTGTTACGATTATCTGAAGCTTGAATCTACATTACCTTATTGAGTATACTTACCAGTTAGAAGTATTGTGTGATGTATCGTCTGTGTGTTACAAGGTATTCAAGTAATAAAATGAAACAATTACGCCCGAATTAATCGTCTCGTCAAGCACCCAACTAACAAGCAGGAATGTAATATCAAAATTATTCTTATTTATTTAAATAAATATATACAGTTTATTGAACAAAATAATCACATTGCAGTCACGGTATGGTCCGAGGAAAGAGCACACGGTTGTGCGTCTATAGCAAAGTTTATGTTATTTATATATCGATGTGTAGTATTCCTCTTCTAAATCATACAGATCAGCAGCCATATCGTCTCTCAAAGATGCCAATTTCTGATCGCATTCTGCCTGTTTTGTCCTGAACAGTTTACTGTTTTGTCCTATGGCTTCGTTTACAGATGGGAAATCGTTAAGTATTAGATACTGTTTTATATCAGAGACAAGCTTCATTAGAGATTCACCGGCACGTACAATATTGGCCGCTCGCACATGCATTTCGTACGTGTCCTGCTCGCATTGTGTCATCCGCGATAATTGTGAATCGCTTTCTCCTTTGGCTAGTTTTATAATCTCTGTAAAATAATAAAATTCGCTATAAAATTTGTATACGAAACACGCGAATAGGTTAGGTTTAACCCGCCATCAATATACATAAAAAAATGAATTGTTTCTATATGTCTGATACGCGCACTTAAAAAACAAAGTTATCCTTGTTCATATAACTTGGTTTTCACGTCAAAAAAGTAAATAATTTTGCGCGGCTTTCCCAGTAAAGTAAAGAGTGAGGTTAGGAAACTTACCTTCAAAATTTTCTAGCATCGATTTCACATCATCCTTCAGTCTTGTCATGTACGATTTCAACAGAGCTTCTTTGCTTTGCGGCAGTGCACGTTGGGCCGCCATAATTTCCCCAAAAATAATTATTTCTCTTTTGCGAAAAGGACTATTCTTTACACTACAAAAACACCGCCACCATGTTGCGTGGACTGCTTTGTGACAGGACCATAACAGCGCGATCAGCTGATGTCACTTTACCGACCGAGAAAACTCCCCCACGCGTGAAATCAATTCGAAATCATCCTTGATCATCCAAATACAGCAATCGCTAGTCTTTAAAGTTCCATCAAATCCTGCAACTCTACTCTTAATACGAAATTATGAAAAATCTGAATCAGAAATTCTAGTCTCAAATAGTTTCTCCGCAATATCCTACAATACTCGTCACATTCCTACAGGGATTGCTTAAAAAAAATCATTAGAAATAAAAGATCCACGACTTTATAATCTCCGTTTACTTTCTTCAAAATAAAACCACTTGCCGTCGAAATTTTTGAACACCCTGTATATTGATTTTCTAGTAGAAACCTAGGATACAGTTCCACCCTATCCCCACTACAATTCTTACTTCGCGGCCGGGATGAAATCAATAGAAAGCTTGCGCGATCGTGCTCCGTCTTCAGCGAATCTATTCGCAGGGAAAATTTGCGCGAGGAGGAACGTAGCCACGACAGTGACAACCCTGGAATTATCCCCTTCGATCGCATCACTTTTTCTAACCGCGGAGCCGCGAACGTTGTGAAATCATCTCTCCTCGAATCAGTGACTTAATTTAATGAATAAACAGCAATCGACGACAATGGCTGTGATCCTCTACACGGCAGTGCGATTATCAGCGTCGTGGGGTGTGTCGTAGAGTAGATACGGAAAGCAGAAAAGTCGTTTCGAAGCTGTTCAAGTAATTACCAAAGTAACATGATGCTAGAATTTCTCGTAATACTCATAACGTCGGCGAGCGTGATCGAGGGTTCGTTACCGCCCGACGACGGGGACAATGTGTTGCATATCGGCGGTATTTTCCCAATACAGGGGGAGGGTGGATGGCAGGGAGGTCAGGTGAGCCACCGAAAGATCATTCATCTCTTCCAAGCGTTTCGATTAGCAATGAACACTTGGCACCTTGATTAATAGGCTTGCATGCCAGCGGTGAATCTGGCCTTGGACGATGTCAACCATGAGAAGAACCTGTTACCGGGCTTCACGCTGAAACTCCACTCGAACGACAGCGAGGTATACTGGGAAACTCGAAATTATCAACCAGATCGACGGAGAATATTTTAATTCAATTTTTCTTGTAGTGCGAGCCAGGACTCGGCGCGTCGGTGATGTACAATTTATTGTACTACAGTCCGCACAAATTGATGTTGCTGGCGGGATGCAGTACGGTCTGCACGACTGTTGCCGAGGCAGCTAAAATGTGGAACTTAGTAGTGGTAGGTATTCTGATAAAAATATAACTTTTCAGAAATGCTACGAATTTTGAAATGTTTTCAGTTGTGTTACGGTGCATCGTCTCCAGCATTGTCCGATCGAAATAGGTTTCCGACATTGTTCAGAACCCACCCATCAGCCACGGTGCACAATCCAACGAGAATCAAACTGTTGCAAAAGTTCGGCTGGTCTAGAGTAGCAATCTTACAGCAGGCTGAAGAAGTGTTCATATCTGTAAGATCGGTTTCTTTCAATAACATCGTGTAACCTAATACTAACTCTAATCAAATTGTTCATTTCATTCTGCAGACTGTAGAAGACTTAGAATCGCGTTGCAAGGAGGCAGGAATAGAAATAGTGACTCGGCAAAGTTTCCTGTCCGATCCCTCCGACGCGGTAAGGAACTTACGTCGCCAGGATGCGAGAATCATTGTGGGCTTGTTCTACGTCGTAGCAGCTAGAAGAGTCCTCTGTGAGTTGTACCATCAGAATCTCTATGGGAAGAGCTATGTGTGGTTCTTTATCGGCTGGTACGAGGACAATTGGTTCGAGGCGAACCTGAACAAGGAGGGTATCACCTGCACGGAGGAACAAATGAGACTAGCGGCCGAGGGACACTTAACCACAGAGGCACTGATGTGGAATCAGAATAACGACACGACAATCAGCGGCATGACTTCCGAGGACTTCAGGAAACGGTTGAATTCGATGCTGAAAGAGGAGGGTTTTGATATCGATAACAACCGGTATCCAGAGGGCTACCAGGAAGCACCTCTCGCCTACGATGCGGTTTGGTCTGTCGCGTTAGGTAAAGGATCCAGTTTGCTTATCCCGGTTCTAACGAGCTACAATGTTCCGAGCGTGTACACGATTTCACTGTATCCGTCGTAGCTTTCAACAAAACCATGGAGAAGCTGAGCAAACAGGGGAAAAGCCTGAAGAACTTCACCTACACCGACAAGGAGATAGCGGACGAGATTTATTCGGCCATCAATTCTACACAATTCCTCGGTGTATCTGTACGTGCTACGAGCGTGCCGGAAACAGAAAGAGAGCCTTAGTTCCGTGCGGTTGATCTTTAATCGATTTTCTGTGCTATAGGGATACGTTGCGTTTAGCTCCCAAGGTGACAGAATCGCATTGACCCAAATCGAGCAGATGATCGATGGAAAGTACGTCAAGTTGGGTTACTATGATACGCAAAGCGACAATCTGACATGGAGGAATATGGAACGGTGGATCGGAGGGAAGGTACCGCAGGATAGAACCATTGTTAGGACCGTTCTTAGGACAGTCTCGCTGCCGTTGTTCATCTGCATGGGTACCATATCTTCGATTGGGATCGTGATAGCAGTCGGTCTAATTATATTTAACATTTGGAACAGACACAGAAGGTACGCTCGATCGTTTCATATTATAACATACACGCGTGGAACTTCCCTAATCTTTCCCTTAACTTCTTTCAGCGTCATTATGTCCTCCCATCCCGTGTGCAACACGATAATGCTTGTGGGGGTGATAGCATGTTTCGTGTCGGTGTTCCTATTAGGCATCGACGGCAGATTCGTGTCGCAATGGGAATACCCAGCGGTTTGCCAAGCGCGAGCTTGGATGCTGTCCACAGGTTTCACCCTAGCGTTCGGCGCCATGTTCAGTAAAGTGTGGCGGGTCCACAGACTCACGACGAAAACGAAAGCTGATCAAGCGAAGGTAAGGTGGATCGATCCGGTGGGCAGAATACTTGCGAAACAGCTTTGATTACGAACAGTTCTATGATTAATCATGTGCCTGACGTTTTTAGTCTCTCACGCAGTTCCGCCTCCTGCATGGCACGCAGACCCCGATCGTATGAACCCCTGTCTATAACGAGATCTCGATTCTTTTTAGTTGTTCATGGCTAAACAAAAAGTTTCGTCCATACAGAAGAAAATCCAACCGTGGAAGCTGTACACGATGGTAAGTGGGCTGCTCGCAATGGACATCGTGCTGCTGATGTCCTGGCAGGTGCTGGATCCTCTTCAGAGAAAGATGGAGACGTTCCCGTTGGAGTCATCTCCGTACGGTGACGACGACGCGAGGATCAGGCCTGAGTTAGAGCACTGCGAGAGCGCGCACAATAACATTTGGCTTAGTAAGTTGATCCATAGGATCAAGAAAGAAGGATGGACAACCATTAACTGAATCCTCTTCATTCAGGTTTGGTGTACAGCTATAAGGGGATCATTCTCGTGTTTGGCCTGTTCCTGGCTTACGAGACGAGGAGCATCAAAGTGAAGCAAATCAACGATTCCAGATACGTGGGGATGTCGATCTACAACGTGGTCGTTCTGTGCGTGATCACAGCGCCGGTCACAATGGTGATCGCCAGCCAGCAGGACGCGAGTTTCGCCTTCGTCGCACTCGCGATCATTTTCTGCTGTTTCTTGAGCATGGCGTTAATTTTCGTGCCCAAGATGATCGAGGTGATCCGGCACCCAAAGGACAAGACCGAGTCCAAATACAACGCGGACGTGGGCATGTCGAAGGAGGACGAGGAGAAGTATCAGAAGTTACTCACCGAGAACGACGAACTTCAGAAGCTCATCGCCGCGGTAAGGGTATCTCGATAGTCGCGGCAGCGAGATAACGTTATCGGGTCTGACCGCTATCCGGCCTTTTCAGAAGGAAGAAAAGATCAAAGTCCTGAAGCAAATGCTAGCCGAGAGGGACGCGTTGAAAGGGGGCAGCGGAAATGTTCCGAAGGACTCGCTGATAGTTGCCGACTACGTGACCGGCGAGGGGACCTCGGACAGCGCAATCGGTGGGGGCATTTCTGTTTACACAAGATCGTCCCGAGCTTCTGCCTCCGACTTCGACTTCTCCGAGTCGTATTCGTAGATCCGCCGCGAGTCGATCAGCGAACCTTCCCCGCAGATCGTTAACACGTTGACGTACAATTTCTTCCAAGTTCCACCTCGGAAACATACTTTTTCCTTTAAACGTTCCTTTGATGTTACCAAAAATTGGAGGACAATGCGTGACTTCTAAAGAATATTGTTTACAGTTCCCTTTTTTTTAAGTATGATCGCTATAGCCGCCATTTTCCAATTATATACAAAACATTTAACGTCTATAGTTAGTTTCGTCAACGTGTTAAGAATCTAAGGGAACCTGGGACCTAAACACAGAGTAAATTATATGTCGCTTCTTTCTTTCCTACGGTTTCGTTTCGAGACTCTTTAGAAGCCTAATCACGTGTACGCTTCACACGCGAACACTTCTTCTTTTTACCGAGTATCGTTACAGAACGATCGGGACAATCACCGAAGCCGGCACTTGTACCGAGTCCTCTCCGGGCACAACGAAAGTTTTGTCTCGCGGCGATAAGGGTCAGGTGATGCGCTTCTCGTCGATGTGCTCGGTGTCTTAAACGTACCCATTATTATTAAATGTTGAATGTATGTGTCTACTATCAGTAATACGTGTGTGTATGCGTAGAGGAGATCGTAAGCTAAACGCGAGTAACAGCGTACATCCGGATGCGAGAGGGGCAACCACGGTGATAACGATCGACAGTTGGCCTACGAACGTCGCGCGCGGGTCTCGTTCACAACGACATTTTTGTTACTTCGAGGATTTACCGCATACAGTCACAGATATCGCCGTACATCGAGATTCTATTATCCGATGCATTTGTACAATGAAGTTTCTATCGGAAAGGTTACGAGTTAGAATCGAGCCCACACACGGAATCTATTATCGCGACACAGACCAATTAACGTACTTCACGAACAGTTTTCTATTGGTTTTTCGAACGTTTTACTGGAATAACCGGCGAACTCGATCGTGTTCCATTGCCGCGAACGGTCGTGGTGGGGCACGAGGTCACATGGGTCCAAAAGGGTGGGAAAGAACGTTTGATACGATCCACACAAGGTACAAAAACGCATCTTATACAGAAAATATATATTACGGCGTTGCATCGATTAACAGTTAACGGTTGACTATTCGTCGACAGTCATGATCCACACAGACCCATAACGAATACGCAGACGAAGCCACCTCAGTGACGAGTCCCAGGCTTGAACTCCTCTTAACTGTTCACGCATGATTTCCAAGCAATTGCAGTTAAATCTCGTTAGACAATTAACCACCTGGTCGTTTCCGAATCCGCGAATCGATGTGAACCTCATGAAGTCTGCTCCCAAATTGTGCCACACACGGAACGCCGCGGTAGATTGGGTGACGTTCTTCCAGGGCGAACGCCGTGCTAACGAGATTTAAAAGCTTGTGATGCTGCGCCATTCATAAATAATTTGGGAGTCTTGATGAGGTAGACAGTTTACGCGAATTAGGACCACCCAAAAAGGAAAAAAGGATAACAAAAAGGGACACGCTTAATCTTTCAGACATGCGGACGAATACGAACGGGATCTGGCTCGAGCCGACCGTCGCAATTATTTATGAATGGACGATAACATATCTGAACGCTTGTTTCGCATTGCATCTGAAGGGTTATCGTATTTTTCAATTCTTCTTTCTAGAAACGGACCAGGTCGGCTGAAAACACAGGAGTCCCCGTCAATTAGGACGACGAAAGCAATACACACGTGCTAACGAGCTGAAAGCTCCCCCGTTCTCTCCCTTTCTCACTGTCTTTCTCGTCTCTCTTCTAAAGTTAGCGTTGAATGTTCACACACACATAGGCACACGCGTGCAATCCTTCCCGTGGATATCCGATGTTTCGTGTTCCATAACCGAGGGGAGACGTCGGGAACCGACGCGTCGCAACGGCAAAAATCTGATTATCCCGTTGCGCGTCGGCCGCAGGGAAAACCGTATCACCTGCCGAACGAGTCTGTACCTCTGAAAACGGAGAAGACAGTTTCGATTGGGTGACTCCCAAGAGGGACGCAGTTGCCATTCGAACATCGCCTTCCCTCTCTAAAAAAGAACAGAACAGGAAAAATGATATTAACTGTATCGCAAATATGCTTCGAAAGGTGCGTTTACAAAATCTCAACGTCGCTGAAAGAAGGGTAATGCGATTTGACTGCAATTCAAGATTTTATTCGTATACAGGACGATTTATGTATGTGTATAACGTAGATTGGTTAAGCCACGGAGCACAAGATTTTTTCATATCGGTGCAACTTCAATTTCGCCACTCTACGTATACATGGTGTTTAGAGAAGACTCTACGAATGTTTTCTGTTGAACCGTTTCTAGGCGTGCTAATCGTCGTCGTGCCCAACCGCGATATTTTTTACTGTACCTCTTCGGTCGACTGTCGCGCGGGCAGCGCTTGACTAAAATCATTATTATTATATACCGTATACATATATAATATATATATATATTATATACATATATACATATATATATTATATTATCGAACTGTTAAAGAAAGTATCATATATATGTATGTTAGAATATGGAGATATATTTATTTTTAAGTTTTTCAAATTATAAAAATTCGTTACAAATTCATCCGCTGTATCTGTTATTAAAAACCCTGCGTTTATCAAACGAGCGGACCGCTCGCGGATCTATCGATCGTTCCGGTTTCGTTATTCGAAAGGTGAACGACGAAAGATCGATCGGTTCGCGTCGAATCGTACAAAATTTTCGTGAAAAATCGACGAGCTTCTCCTTTTTGTTCGAGATATCAATGTGACACGTATCATTCGTTCGAAGGAACAACGTATATTTAATACATCGTAGAGGATTTACGGCGATTATGAAAATGTGTAGTACAAATTAAATGCGATTGTATGAAAAGGACATAAAAAAAGAGAAATGATTCGAATAAACTAGAATTACGATTCAACGGCGGCATTGTGAAATGTGCTCTAAGCGTTTCAGCGGTTTGAATGGGAATTTGAATCTTTGCGGTGCCCACGTGACACATGTTTCGCGCATAAGCGAGAGATTGCATTCGTGGCGCATGCCTGCCCGCCATGTTCGTTGCACTGTCGTTTATACGAAATTGTAAGGCGCGCGCGCGGTAAAGTGTGTTTTCCTCGTGCGTCGATTTCACTCTAGTTTGAGAAATGTCATTCGGCACGGGATTTGGTGTGGCTACTTCGACGCCCGCTCCTGCATTCAGTTTCGGTGCGACGACTTCAACCACGGCGACTCCGGTGAAACCGGGTAAGTCCTCTTCTTTTAGGTTATGTCACATTTCGAATTTTATTCTGTTACATGTGACTTTGCAGGGCTATTCTTTGATTCGTTTTGTTCATTTTACGTTTCGTTCGTTTGAAAGCTGTTTTGGGATTCGTGCGTCCCGTGAAAAACTCCTCTTCAGGCATTATTATAATTGAAATGTGAAGATTACTGCAATTTCTAATGTGCTGTTTCACGTTAATGCGTATTTAATATATTCCATTTACATAATCATTGATTTGTGTAGTCCTATTGTTCGACCAATACCTTGTACTATAGAATGCTGGCACGGTTAATAAGTTTGTGCCAATTTATTCCACTCAATTTCTCAGTGTGCTAATGCTTGGTTTGTTTGAGCACTCTGAGATTTTGTCCAACAGCGGTTGACTCATACCTGTGCATCCTGGTTCACATTCTTTATTAAAAAAATTAATTTTCCTTTTTGACTTGGCTATTATGCATGCTGTAACACAGCACATAAATAATATAACCACAAGAGCGCATAGTAAAGAAACTAAGAGCGGCGAATAACCATGTTCATGGCCACTCTTGGTTATTTCTGTAGATGATATGACAGCATGTTCATATTCTGATGTACCTTGGTGGTTGTTACCAAATACAGCCAATTTTTTGATAGGGGTTGTATCTTCAATGTAATACATTTCATTTGGTATTTTTCCTAATGTTGTTATCATAACTTCAGCTGTAACGTCCTGCAAGAAATTGTCAAATTATGATAAAAATATTGGGAGAACTTTGATATATCACTTTCCTATGATATAAATTTAGAAAATGTACCCCAATTGCTACATCTGTTGTACCAAGTTCCTGTATCATTTCTGTAGGAACTTCTCTGGAATGATCTAAATGCCGAAGTATTAATTTACTAGTAGACATTGCAGGCACCTTTAATAGTTTGTGGGCAAGTTGAACATATTTTTCATCCTGTAATTTTGCATGTACTAAACTATTTTACATTTGTGACTAATAATAAAAAAGATACCTGATTTATATGTGACATGATTATATATCCGTTTCTAATACAATTTGTAATGATGTCTGACTAAAAATGTTCTAAACTACAATTGTTTTTAATGTATTAATATAGTCGCGTCGCGCGTAACTAATAAATCCGCGATTATATCTGAAATATTTCTGTCATTCCCTGAGCACTCTATTTGAAGCAGTTTCAAGTTGCCAAAACAAAATCCTGCCAAAAAATGACCACATTCAAGTATTATGAGAAAGAAGAAAATATGTTTAAGAATTATTCTATAAGGACATAAGTATTTGGATCATTTGGAAATTGATCCTTTAGCAGGATTTGGAACGCCATCCTTTGGATTCAATACACCAGCTACATCAGCACCAAGCCTGTTTGGCACTTCTTCAACCCCTGCAACTGGTGGATTTGGCACAGGCACTGGATTTGGTACACCAGCTGCTACTGGTTTTGGCAATACCTCTACAACCGGATTTGGTGCTACACCAGCATTTGGTGCCACACCTACTAGTGGATTTGGAGCCACTCCAGCTTTTGGTAGTACACCTGCTTCCACGGGCACTGGATTTGGGACAACTTCAACATTTGGCACCACTCCAGCATCTACAACAGGCTTTGGAGGATTTGGGACTGCTACAACAACATCCTCTTTAGGCTTCAGCAGTTTCAGTGGGTTTGGAACTGCAACAACTACATCCGCACCATCCTTCTTTGGTGGATTTGGCACTACAAATACAGCCTCAACTGGTTTTGGTGCGGGTACTGGTTTTGGTGCATTTGGAACAAAACCAACAACCACAACTACCACCACTGGTTTTGGTGGTTTCGGTACAGGTCAGTTTCAATGGACGTACATATTTATTTATTAACATTGGGACAATCAGTATTTAACTATTCATGCAGGAACAGGATTCACAGGTTTCGGCACTGGACTAGCACAGCCTCAACAACACCAACCATTTCAGCAGCAACACCAACAGCAATTACAACAACAGACTATTAATACTATATCTGAAGCACTATACAATGCTGTTTTTAATTGTCAATTGTACAATGACGAACGGGATAATATCATTGCCAGATGGAATCTTATACAAGCTCTATGGGGCACCGGAAAAGCTTACTATTCCATGAATGCACCGCCGATAGAACTTAACCAAGAGAATCCTTTGTGTAGATTTAAGGCCATTGGGTACAGTCGCATGCCCGAAGCAGATAACAATGACGGATTGGTCGTACTTTGTTTCAATAAAAAGAAAAACGACGTTAAAGAAGGCGAGACACAGTTGATCGGCTTCATGAATAATATATTAGGCAACAAGCCCAATTTGTCGTTGACAATAGATAATATCAAAGCGACTGGAGAGGACAAAAGTCAAGTGACCATTTTTGTTACTGAGAAAGGTATTACTGGAGCTCCAAGAAAAATTCCTGCTAGCGAATTGGTTGCATATTTATCGCAGCCAATGCAGAAGCAACAGTTGATGCAGAATGGCGTGGAAGACATATTACCTCTGATAAAGTTGGATCCTGCTCAGTTGAAAGAATATTTAGACAATCCACCCTGTTCCATCGATCCAAGATTATGGAAGCAGGCTCAGTTGGATAACCCTAATCCAGACCTGTATATACCGGTCCCGATGATCGGTTTCCAACAAGTGAAGCACAGACTGAAGTGCCAAGAGGAAGAAACGGCTAGGCACAGAAACTTCTTAGATATGGCGGCAGAAGAAATACAGAAACTACAAAGGCAACACACAGCGATACAAGCTAGGCTTAAAGAACATAGAAGAACTTTATTGGAACTTCAGCATAGGGTTCTTCAAGTACGTATACTGTTAACTTTTCCTGAATATTTAGAAAATTCTTTTTTTGTTTATTCATATTTTTTATTAGGTATTAGTACGTCAGGAAATTACGCGCAAAGTTGGACTATCTTTACAATCGGAAGAAGAAGTTCTGACACACAGGTTTGAAGCTATGCATTCGCAGATCAGTGCTCCGACTCAGTTTAAGGGCAGAATAAGCGAAATGCTATCTCAGTTGAGAATGAGAAGTTACATAGACACTCAAAACCAAGAGAGATACGCGATGGATCCTATAGCGCAGGACGATATAAAAGCGGTATGTAAAACCCGTCTTGAAATTAAAACACTTTTGAAAAAATTTATCTAATTCGTTGTTTCTTTGTTTTAGTATTTGAGTATGGAACAGCAAGGCATGGCGCAATTGATAGCGACGATACATGCCGATCTAGAAAGCTTAAAGATCATCAAAGACAGCATGTCTGAACTTTTATTGAGTCACAGTATATCGTGAGAGTTATATTTAGTAACATAAATTACCCGAGTGGTTTTTTCTCTTTTTTTATTAAAATGTTCGCGGCGATATGATTATTGTTATCGTCGGCGATATGCCCGTAAGAACTTGGACGAGATTACGTTAAAACGAGATTCTTTGCACCTCCGAGGTTTGGTGCCATATTTATTTTGTTTTCATCTCGCGACGTCCGACGTGTATATTTTTTTACTGTGAAAGGTTTATTTAGCCCAGAAAACGATTGTCGCCGTTCGCGATAATTTGTTCACGTGTTATACACACCGTTGTTACCGAGATAAAGCCTTCCATAGTGGGCCACACGAAGATGTTATCGCGTTTATATTTCAGATACCGACGCAGAAAAGAAAATAGCAGGCGTTCGTTATACACAGGAAAAAGAATAAACAATTTTTACATAAATAATGTGCTTTTATTGAATAACTCTCTTGTCGTTAAACACGCACGCTCATCCTTGTCATTGAGAAATGCACATACTTTCCCGCCGCGCGTCTTATCATTCTCGGATAACTACTTACATATAATATATCTTTATATACATATTATACATCGGTGTTCAGTATAAGATACCGGGATAGCTTCGACGCGGTGGTCCGCGCAAGTTTTTCTCCCTTGATGTTAGATTGAATTCCAGTGCCGCGTACAAAATCATACACGTCCGATTCATCGAATTACCCGTAAAATCTAGACAACCGAGACTCCTTACTTAAGTCACTAAGAGAGGCATTGACGAGTTAAGATTGAGCAAATCTCTTACCAACCGTTCCTTCTCCGACTAACGCTGCCCTACAACGACAGAAATTAACGCATTTACGATATTATTTGGTTTCGCAGTCTAATCAAAACAGTTTTCTCGCTGAGGTCAATCCGTTTCACCGGTTACATCTACCTTGATTTTCATCGTTCAATTACAATTCCCCAAGAAAATTTTGTTCCCAAAGAATACCGGATTCAATTGCTTCGCAATCCGTGAACACGAGACATATCGATGGCGACCCCAAGTTTCATTTTTCTATTCGCGTTCGCTCCAGGTCGCCCTTTTGGATTAACAAAACTGATCGGTAAATCTTCATCACAGCGAGGAAATTGAAAAATATTTGTCTCTGCGCAGCCGGTACAAGGCACTTGACTCAAGGAGGACCTAGAGAACGCTTAACACGGGTCGCCACCGGTAGTTCGAGCCCGGCTTTCGAATTCGCAACAGCTAAACCCTTTTTTCGTGAACGGGACATGGATCCACCACACCCGACACATTCTCTGCAATCGCTCATACAACTCCGCGAACGCCTAGCTACTTATTGATCGTCAGGTCCAATGGAAGATCTTGTTCCATCTCGACGACGTTCTCGATCTTTACGCGGAGGTCCTGTCCACAGGTGTTGTTCGTGTCCACGATGTTGCCCCACATGTTCTGCAAACCATATTGCAGATCAACGGTGCCTAACAGGTGCCTGAACAAAGGGTTTTGTGCCTTGAGGATCAAATCGGAAAGGATCTTGGTCTTTTCTAGAATATTGTCGTTGTTGTGCACGCAACACTTGTGACGGCAGCAGCAGTCGTTAGTGTCCTTGCAGACCTCCTCTTTAGTTGGCGTCTGTTCAATCTCCATCTTCAGATCCTCCGCTCGCTTTATCACAGAATGCCTGATCGGATCGCAGGCTACAGTGTTCTCTTTTTTGCAGGGCGTGCTGTTCACGATCGACTCGATGTTCCTGTAATCGACGGTGCTGACTTTCGTCGGGTACTCGATGGTCTCCTCGGTCTTGATGGGTGTCGACTGCATCCCGATGCGAGGCACGGGGTCGGGAATGTGATGAGGACTAGTCTGCGGTGATCGGACAGCTGGAGGACTCTCTTTGATCATCGGGCTGTTAACGTACATGGGGTTCACTTGAATCCTGTCCGGTATTATGTAGCTGTCGTCGTAGATCCTGGGGTAAATCTTCACGTCTTGTTCGTACACCTTTCTCGGCGTGATCTGTTCCTGTTCTTTGCGCTGATCCTGCAGATTGTACATGTTGTTCCACTCGACGAAGTTCCTTTGTTCCTCGAAGCTGTTGCTCGCTTTTGGACTCGATCCTGATGTGCTGCTTTCGATGCTGCTGTCCTTCTTGTCGGACTCGGAATTGGTGCTGTTGTTCTGCTTCTCTGGCGAGGTGGTGTCGAACCTGGTCTTCTCCTGGGAGTTGTTCTCGTCGAAGCTCTTCTCCTGTACTTTGTCATTGTTGTTTACGTAGTGTCTGTACGTTTTTACGTGTTTGCGCAGGGACGACGGATCGGTGTATCGCTTCGGGCAGCCGGGCACCTTACAGCAGTACGGCTTGTCCACGGCGTGGGTCCTGGTGTGCTTGAACCTGTCCGAGGAGTTCGAGTAGGCCTTGTTGCAGCCCTCCACCGGGCAAACGTACGGACGCTCGCCCGTGTGGGAGCGCGCGTGGATCTTCAGGTTCTCCGCGCGGCTGAAGCTCTTGTCGCATTGGAAGCAGTGGTGAGGCTTCTCGTTCGTATGCGTCCGGACGTGGACTAACATCTTATATCTGCGATCAATAGAATATCATGGTGAGATTCGATGTTTGCGACATTATTAATAATCAACATTGTATATTGTTTAACTTTGAACTTCTAAACTTTGAATCTTTCAACTTTAAGTTTCTAAGTTTAAAATTTCTAAACATTAACCTTTTCAGCTTCGAATCTCTAAAATTGAAACTTCTCTAGCTGAAAAGTCCTTACCTCGCATTGAATCCACGTTCACCTCTCGCGCATCCTTCCCAGCCGCAATAAAAGAGTCCTCGCGGTCCCGGCGCGGCGTGCAGCCGCGCGACGTGTCCTGCCAGTTGTTCCAAGGACGTGAACCACCGACCACAATTCTGCCATCTGTAACCCACCAAACCAGGTTCGTGTGTGTTCGTGTTTGTGCATGTACTCGCGCGTGTTATTCGACGATGGTTCACATTCATCATCCGTAATCACCGGGAATGCGATCCGAACGATTCGGTCGCAAAACAGTGGCGCGGTATTTAAGAGTATTGATCTTTGCTCGCGGACCGATCAATCGACCCGTTCATACGATTGCTATCGTTTAAAACCGATACATCGAAGCTTTCTGGTTGGCCCCTCCTCGCCCATCTCGTCGGTCGATCTATTTATATCATTTATTTCCCCTGTCGCTCATTTACCGAGAAACGCTAAATATAACCGACACGCGCGTCGAGACGATCTCTGCATTTTGATCGATCGTCGTGTATCCTCGCGGCGCGGCCATCCTTAGGTACTACAATTTCCGGAGCCCCGACCGCGTGGATCCACGACCGTGCGTGAAATTCTCGACCCATCGCGATTTCACGGCTCTTTCCGTCAATTTTAGCCGACTCCCCGAGCATCGACGCGCGATTTACGTCAGGAACGTCTCCGTTCGACCGACCAATTGATACCAATTCCGACCATTGTGCAATTGGCGTCGCTTGACGCTAGTTTATCTAGACGCGCGGAGTTCGATGCTATTCCAGTCAACGGCATCGCGTGTTCCGCGAATCCACGTGCCCATATAAAGGTCGCGGATCAAGGTAACGCCGAGGCGTCCGATTGATCCGCCAATTCATCCGGTCCCCTGCCGAATTTGCATTCACTCTTGTGTTTTCCTGATTCGCAATACTGAATTCGCGTCACGCCGAAACGAGTTTCCCGCATTCCGACGCGAGTTTCCAAATACCATAAATCTTCCAGAACTATTCTCTAATCGCTAGCTTAAACATCCTTGTCGCCGGGCAGTGCAGTTAATGCCGCGTAGGATCTATCGCTTAGACGAGGGAAAAAGGCACGCGACGCGATCTAATCGTCGCGTTTTGTTGATCCCGGCTGAGCGATAAGGGAACGTTTCGCTAGACCACGAGGCTGTCGCATGCAATGCTCGATCGGGCGCTTGCCCGCACGCGTAGCTTGCGATGAGCTATCAACACGTCGAACCGTTTCGAATATGTGTACGCTGCTGAATGTTTGAATCGCATCGATCGGAATTCGATACTCTTCTGGTCTCGAATGTTTTGAAAGCTTTGAAGACTTTCCGACATTCGAAAGTTTCAAAGTATTCGAAAGTTAAAAGTTATTGAATCCGACTTGAACTACTTTAAAGTTCGACAGTCTCGGAAATATCGGATTAAACAAACCTATGTACATCGTTAGATGACAGACAGTCGCGACGACGAAAGGAGCGGTCGCGTGTCTCGACCGGCGCGCGTCCCCTTCCGAAATCTGCGTCGATTCGAAATAGAGCGTGGCGAGCCCGCGCGAATCACGTAATCGCCGGCGTCTCGTCTCGGTTTCGAGGTTATCGAGACGCGGCTTTCTTCCGCAACCGTAAATACCGTCGAGCCGGATTTTCATTCGTTTTTTTCTCCCGCGTCCGCGGCGAAAAAGTGGATGGGAACGTGAGATGCTGCGACGCAACAGCGGAGACCTTTAGAATCGTCATCACATCGCGGCGGAAACGCAGAACGTTCTTTCACGATATCGATGCGGGAAACTGGTTGCAACCGGAATCGGCGGCGCGGTCGCTCTGAGAGATAAATTAATGTCTGTTAGCAGATACGCGCGATTTCCCGTTCACGACCTCGTCAATAATCTCTTTGCTATTCGAAAAAACCGCGGATCGAGACAGAAGAAAAAAGGGGAGAAACAAAAGCGGAGAGAACAATTCGTAGACGCGCGCATTTTCTGATAAGGCGAGCACGCGGCGGATCAACGTTCAGTGGTTTTTTATTCGAACCGATAAAAATCCGGACCCCAATTTAGATAACGTTTCAACGACGCGGATTCAACGGCGCCGGTGTATCTGGCAGACGATTCGCGTTTGGGGTAAACAAAAGATCGCGCTCTCGGGGGGCCGAGCAAGCGCAAAACGAATAATGGAAAAGGAAGGAACGAAAACATTTGGTTGGCCGGAAAGTCTTCTCGTTTCTTCGCAACGAGGACCAGTTCTTTCTCAACTTATCCAAGGACTTTGAAGCAGCATTGAACAAAGCGAACGACAATCGTGCAATGAAATTCGATATAATCCTTCGGTCCCGGTTGACTTTACGCTTCAACACGAGCAAAGTGCAACGGCTGTTACTTTATCTTATTATACAAACAGCCATCCATTCAAATTACTTCAAATCGATAAGCGACTCGCTAATTATAAACATATACGTATCGCAATAAACAGAATCGTCAACACAAAATGCATGCTCAACGTTGATTATAGCTACCTTTGTCAATGAAAGGGCAACCCCTATGCTGCAAACGTATAATTTAATTACTGAACTAACTAGAGATTTCCATATGCTTCCCAACTTTACTGCCATCTAAACCTTCAATGCATAGTTTGAATTTCTACAAAAAGAAAACATTTTGAAAAGTTCAAAAAATCCTCGGCCGCAAAGAATCAACGAAGGACTCGCGTTCAACCTTCCTCGAGAAGATGCTCCGGCTAACCTATAGGGCGGGGGATGAAACAGAAAATGAAATTACCTGCACTTGAGCTGAGCGTTCTCCCCGCGGCGGATGGATCCGAGCTCCAGGCTGGAGCTGGACGCGTCGGAGTCGCTGTGCGCAGGACTCGGCGGTCCGCCGTTCGCCAGACCACCCGGCGTGGCGCCGAGTCCTGGCAACGCGGCCGACGGCGACGTTCCCAGTTCCTCCTCGACCGGCATCCTTCGCGGCCAAACCGGAAGGTCCAGCGGTGGTTGCCGATGCAGGCTGAGGCTCCCGTAGTAGCCGGCGGAGTTCGGGCTGGTCGAATAACCGGAAATCGGGCTGTAAAAACCCGGCACTGCTCCTAGCAGGGTGCCCGGGTAACGAGCGGCGCCGTACGGACCAACGTGGCTTGGCATTCTACCAGGAACGTAAACGATCATCTTTATTCCCTTGTTCTTGCTCCTCTTTCTCTATATCCCTCTATCTTCCTCTCTCTCTCCCCCTCGCACGCTACCCGCTAATTCGACCAAACACGTGCAAATTCTCCCCGCGATCCTCTCTTTGCTTTAATTGGACCCTCCTCTTAATTAGCCCGTTTAATACCCCCGATTATAGGAATCGTGGAAACCCGGTGGCCGATGTTCTCCTTGGCCAAACGAGAGAAGAATTTACGAGCGAATTCCTTCTGCCTCCCCCTTTCTTTCTCTCTCTCCCTCTCTCTACCTCTGTGTCGCCTGATCGTATCTCCGAAAGGGTTGTTCGTACTCTCGCTCCCTCTCGTCTCGAGCGTATCACGGTTACTTCAAACCGAGGTTTCTCTCGAAGGTTTCATGCATCTATAATTCTTATCCAGTATTTTTACGATCTGTTTAACATCTGTCCGGTTATCGAACCACTCAACCGAGATACTTTCGGAGCGCTGGCCCCGCGGATCTCTCTCCCCTCTCGCGTGTTCACCCTCGAACCAGCGGCAGGCAGCCGGGCAGACCGTCAACGCATCGGTTAAGGCTGAATCGCGAGGAAACAAGACGTTCCAGGTCTTGCGTGAACGCGCAGCGAGCACCAGTTCAACCCCGGTACAGCTCTTCCCGAGCCACCCCCGTACCCCAGCAAGTCGTCCACGGTAGAACCCGGTCCACGCTCACATACACACACCACACCCTGTCGCGCGCACCCTTGTATCACTCGAGGACCGAGTCCGTATCGTCAGATGTATTTGAACCGGTTGGACTTGAGTATACGGTAGCTCAGGAATTGCTTGCTGTACTCGATCGAGAACATAACTAGGCTGGCCCACGGCAGGCTCATCAAACACGTCGTCCACGGTCTCTCGGGCAACTCCACCGTCACTGTTCTCCGTTCCGCGGTCTCTGATCGCGGTTCGACTGGCGCGTCGACTTTAATCCTCGCGTGCGTGTTCCGCGATAAGCCGATCGCTAAACTTTCGAGTATCTGTGGTGAGGGATAGGGTATCAGTCGGTCGGTCAGCGCTAGAAAGACGTCGCCGCGTCCATCTTCTTTTTTCCGGTGGGCTATCTGGATTCTCGGATCTCCGTGGTGGCTCTTATCTTTCGGCAGGGATCTATCTCTTCGTTCCTTGGGCCGGGCAGCCCGTGACGCGCGTCGATGATCGCCAGTCACCCCCGGGGATCGTCGGTCAATAGCGTATCTCGGTGGCGGACTACCTCCTGGGACGTTTTGTTTGCGGTCGCCGCGGATTGTTGCGGGATCTTACGGGCCGGACACAGGCTGCAGTCTGCGCGGGGTCAGAGAGGCTCGTAGACGGGCTCGAGGAGCGGAAGAAAACGGAGTGGCAGCGTGAATCGCCGAACGACGGACTAATATCGGCGAGCGGCCGAGGGCAGCCTTATATATGTGTGTATAGCCGCGCTATCGTCGCCCGATACCGAAACCTCCTCCTCCTGCCCCGTTTCTCGAGCTCTCTCGCTCCGTTCCCACCAACACCAACACGCTGATAACGCGTAATCGCGCCCGTTCCTCCGCGTCGACGCCTCCTCTCGCGCAGGATGCATCGTCGCCAAGGCGAGGGAGATCCGTACCAATCCGCTTTCAACACCACGGTCAGCTCTTTATCACGCGGAGGACCTTCGTTGCGCGCACGTGCCGAAATTTTAGGTAATCGCGCACGTTGAACCAAGAGACTCGCCGCGTCGACGAGGCTGATGAATTGATCGGGAACGCATCGGAATGAGAAGATAGAATTGAAACGTTTAGTAACGTAACTGGATAGCAACATGGGAAGTATTGAATCGTTGAAGATTCTTTATAACTCGTCTGCGAAAGAATAATATTGGAACGCTGAAGGTTCTCGTGGCGGTCAACGAGTTAAACTTATGACGCGGATTACGGGGAACTGTCGGTGCGCTTGGTATTCCACGGTTTTCGAATTACTAGACGTGAGATTGTTGATGAAAATCGAATGGAATGTTCTTATGCCGTTTTTGAAGCGTATTTCGAAATTTCTCAAATCAGGAGAGGTTTCCCGAGAAGAATGGCAACGATAAAAACGATTGTAATCAGGATTCAACGCGGTTTAAACAAGGTTATCAGTGACTGCAACCCAGACGACTCTCTTTCAATCGCATGCGAAGCATTGTTGTACGAATTATCGAAGTTTCCTCGAGCTCTGAATACAATCTGCGACGACCAGACGTCCGCAGCCAACGTATGCGTGTGTGCGCGACTTTTCCTCGGTCGTGCTCCAGATTTATCCCCCGGGAGGGGACAACTTTTCTCGATCCATCCGGTTCTGTTGTCAGCCAGGGACCGGCAACGCAATGATAACGTTTCGAAGTCGTCGGAATTCTCAATATCCTCGATCGTCGATCCTCGGTAGCCATTCGGAAGCTGATGGATCATAGTCCAGCCGCCGAAACTGAGATACGATCGATTTTATCTGCCAATTAGAAAGAGAAATAGCTCCAGACGCAGTCTGTCGCGTTGCCCCCCGGCGATTAGCCTCGTCGCGTCGGATTTCAGATCGCTGCGACGCACTCGTCGCTTCTATCTCATTCGCAAACCCCTGTCAACCGAGCACGCGAGAACAAAGTCCCGTGTATCTCCGAGAAACCCGGCGCGTTATCGGCCCCGTATTAGCGAGCCGTCGCGAATGGATGTCCGCGGGTAGTGTCAACACATCGCTTAACCGTCTCCTCCCGGAGGTGAGATTTTAGCGAAGCTCGGACGTCCGTTATCGCGAGAATGACGTTCGTCGGTGGCCCCCGATTGCGCGGGAAGTCCAGTTTCAAAAGGCGACCGCGTCCAAGGTTAAATCGCTCGGTACGAATCGCTTAACCCTTTGCATTGGAAATCGTTTTCCGGGTGCATCATTCTATTACCACCGTTGCACTAATCATCACTTTACAAATCTCCTTAGAGATCGCGCTCGACATTTCTTGATGAGTAATAAACGATATTTTCTAAAACCTGAAGTCACGCGAGTTAAGGAACTAGGCTGTTATATTTCTTACGTATTTTAATGAGCAATCAATTTAGTATTTCAATATATCGATAAATAGCTAATTCAATATCTCAATAGTTAATTAACACTAAAAGCTGAAATTTCCTGTTACGAATTTACCATGTTTCCTGCTACAAACCAAATGATGACTCTCAGTCGCCTCTCGAGTACAAAGGGTTAACACCGTCCGCATCGAAGGATCGCGAATCTAGATCCGTCAGGCATTCCGATCGAAATCTAAGACGATAAAGAAATATTGTTCGACTTCTTCAGGCCTGCACGTGCTCACCCGCGCGGCAATCGCCGGGATCGTCTAGATCGTGCAAAACAATATCCTTATGCTTGGCCGCGGAATTATCGCGGCGGCGAGGGGAGATTTCTCCGTTTCATGCGTCTCCCACCAGTGTAGATTTCGGGTGGACGCGCCGCCGGTTTAGGCGCGCCATCGCGAACGCCGCTGACGTCAAAGCGTCTCGTGGGACGGACTCTATCTCTCGCGGAGGAAAAATTTCAGGTTACGTAAGCGCATTCGTCAGAGGCCGGCGCTGCAGCACACTGACGGGCAGAGAACGCACCGTCCGCTTATCGAGATACCGTGTTTTCGGACAGCTGGAACCGAAAATTCGATTCCGCCAACAGATGCACTCCCGAGGACTGGTCGAGAACGATCCGAGAGTGAACAGGCCCCGATTATTTTGCCCATCCGACGATGATTGGTCGTGTCGCGCAACCGGCCTTGAATTCATTCCGTGCCCCTGGCATTTGACCGCCGCGGACAACCTTGCGAAATAATTCGACCGATCATTGATCGTCGCTACAATCGTTTCGGGTTCGACGCTCATTTAGCGACTGCGACGAGTTTGATACGTCGTCGATCGAGTATATTCGAGATAAACGCTTTCGTTCAACGTTCTTATCAGCTACCTCGCTTATTTCTTCCATTCTTTGAAAAATTATTAGTAAACATTTTCAAATTCGAGTGGGCTGAGCTTTAATCCAGTTGTTCTTAGTTGGCCAACGTAACGTGTATTCGATACGAAGATTGTTCCGCTGATACGAGTATTTTTGGAATGCTTTCGGTTATACCCTAGTAGACTTCTAAAATTGAAAATCTGATAACGCGTTCGTGGCTTCTCTTGTTATTGGAAAGATATAGTTCAGATATAGCTTCTTTTCTGGGAGTCTCTTACGTAAATTGATATAACGCGTAAGTTGTAAGTCAACGGGAATCTCAACAAATAGGGCCGTAGTTTCTATAGTTCCTAGTTTCATGGTTTCTATCATAGATGTTATAAAAAAACAGTTTCACAGTTTCTATCAGAAAATAAAAGCCAATTCTGTGAAACTAATTAAACTGTTCCTACCACGAAACAATTGTTTTCCGCAGACTCGGTGGAGGGGACGTTTACCGTACTATTCGCGAGCGAAAAACGAAGAACACGCATCCACGCTGAAGATAGTGTGTCAAGGTTGCGACGTACACGACGATCAAGTTCAATGGAACTTTCAGTTCGTGCGCGCGGTGGCGGGCCGTGGCTCCGCAGGAAAACCATTTCCTCCGAGAGCAACAGATGCGCGGACAGGCCGTTCGTGGACGTCGGGATAAATGGTCCGTCCGCCGCAAATGAAAAGTCGAATGAGGAGGTTCTTCTCGCTCTTTTTGCTCCACAATCGCAGCTCATGCGAACAAAGCCCGGTCCCGTATCCGCCGAGAACTGAGACGGATCCGACGGTGCGTGAGAAATTTCCGAACCGTGAAGAAAAGTCGAAAAGAATCGATTCCGTTCGACTCTTTTCTCCAATCTTTTTCTTTTCACGCATTTTTTCTGCTTTTTAGAGTGTTCGATCGTTAAGCTAGGTATCCGTTTGGAAGAAAAACTGTCGTGAAATGTAAATTAAATGAAAATTTTACGCAAATCGATACTACGTTAACCAGTTAACTGTATTTGACGAGTAGGAGTAGTCATCATCTTAAATCTCAAATACTAATTTCTTCAACTAATTAGTTATTTTTTTCAAATAAACATATAATTCTTGTTTTATTTTAAAACGCGTCCGATATGTGTATTTTTCGTTGATTTTACTATACATCTCACTCGAGATTATTACAACTGAATATCACAGTTGATTGGTCAATCGTGTCCATCAATTTCTACTTGTCGAAAATGCTTTCGACAGCAGCTATATTATAGCGATAATGTTATTATGAATATAGACAACGAGTAGCTTAGCTTTCGATAGGAAAAATCGCGGAAGATTTTTGAGAGATCATAGAGACGCGAATAGTCTGTGGTCATCGAACGGGCCAATCTCGCAGCGATCTAATCTCGCGGCGAACCAGACTTCGCTAGTCTGGCGCTCGCCGGTAAACAGGCACAAGCTGGAATCAAGATCCACCTGTTGCTATCAGTTGCAGTGGTTCTCAAAGTACCCACAACAGAATACATTTCTTTCCTCCGCTTTAGTAAAGCGACATTATTTGTTCTCCATCGTCAAGTTCCGCGTAATCGAATTTTCCCGTCCGCTTATCGAATTTTTGCCGATAAAACAAACAACCGTGTTCTCTACCAAAGCTATGTCTAGCGAGAAAAATGTCTGAAAACATGATCCAATTATGCATATTCCTGTTATCCTTTATTTTGCTCAATTGGCTAATGTCCTGTACCAATTGGCCTTAGCCGACTCACCGATGGGGGTGAAGGAGAAAGGGTGATAATCGATATATATAGAGTAAAGTTGGATAATTCGCGATTATATGGAAAGCGGGAATTTCCAAACAAGCTTCGCTGGTGACACAATCGTGCCTCTTCCCGGATCGTCGAGCAATTTTTACGCTCAACCGAGGAATCCCGCAGTCGGAAACATGGCCGCCGCGGCCGGAGGTGGTGGGGCATCGTTCTGGAGATGAAAAACAAGGATCCGCGCGAGGGACGGTGGTTTCACGTGCCGCCGCAGTGACACTTTTCGATAAGAGGATCGGTGGGGTCCACTCGTGTCGCTCGTGATGAGATACGAACGAGTTTAGCGCGGCGTCGATTGCGCGCCGGTTGCCTCTTATTTTTTCGCCTTTATCTGTCCGCGATATCGCTGATAGATCCGGTTCTCAATGCCCCGACGTCACGGAAAAATAGCCACCTCTTCCTCCTCGCTGGTTAATCCGTTTACACCGGGTCCAACCGCGTTCCTCTCGTTCCTCGCGGGCCGCCGCTGGAGGTGCGACCGACAATCGCCCGCGGGTTACGCAAGAAACCACGCTGCGAACGGGCCTGACCGGAAGAAGGACGCGGCAGAGAGCGAGGAACGATCGGAGAGGCATTAGAAGGCTCGGCATAATAAGGGGACGGAAGGATCGCAGTGGCGTGTCCCTTT